TTTTATTTCTTAAAATGCAAAATAAATAAATAATGACTGAATAAACAAATAAATAAATAAGGGTTTATGTGTAGATCCACAAGATTGTTTAGTAACAATTTACGTGAAGATAACACTTGTGATCAAACAGTAGCTAAACAGAAAACCCATCTGCAATTTGTCTCATCTGTTATTGATGAAGGATATTGATAGCTACACAGCAATGGAAAACCAATTCACTGGAATGTAAATTTCAGTTTGATCAGAAATGTTTAACGGTCAACCCATCTAAAACTAGGCAGACAGAGGCTTAAAAAGAAACCTCAAAATAGCACAGCACTGGAGCCATCAGAGGAAAATACATCCACAGCACAATCTGTCCAGGGAATTTTCTGAAGCAATGTGCTGCTGTACATATGTGAAGATGAATGAACAAACGCACTCACCAGCTTCAGCCTGCTTACTGTAACATACAATATTAATGTATAGTCTGTGCGTTTATGCCCACAGTTCACACTTCTCAGCATTTCAGCTAGTTTTCAAATATACCTTCAAGGAAGATAAACTTGCTAGGCAGGAACCAAAAAAGAAAGAAAGAAAGAGAGAGGGAGGGAGGGAGGGAGGGAGGGAGGGAGGGAGGGAGGGAGGGAGGAAGGGAGGAAGGAATGAAGGAAGGAAGGAAGGAAGGAAGGAAGGAAGGAAGGAAGGAAGGAAGGAAAAATAGAGAGAGGGTTTTCTCTAAACTTGGAGAACTTTTAAAAACTTTCATTCATGATTTAGTCAAAATGATATTTTCCAAATACTAAGATCACATCCAACAGTACACATATTAGGTTGTAATGCAAGTGCTAGAATAGGTTCTCCTATTAAAGTTGAATATTTTATTACTATTGAAGTTTTACTCCCTCCCCTCTTGAGACAGGGTTTCTCTGAGTAGCCTTGGCTGCCTTGGAACCCACTCTGTAGACCAGGCTGGACCTGAATTTGGAGATCTGCCTGCCTCTGCCTCCCAAGTCCTGGGATTAAAGCTATGTGCTACTACCACCCAGCTCTATTAAAGCTTTACAAAGAAAAACATATTTCCTCTTTGGGTTTCAGCCCATAGACATTGAGAATTGTTTGGAAAAATAAATGAAAAGGAAGGAGGAAAGGGCTACCTATTGTCATGAAGCCAGCAGAGAATGTTGAAAATGGAGCTGATAACTTGCAATCTCTGAAAAGAAATAGACTCTGACCAGGGGAATAACAATGAGGAAGGGGAAGACGGAGGGAAAGGGCTGAGCAAGGCAGGTGCAAGGGCTCATTGTGTGAGACAAACAGCAAGAGACCTCTTCTCCTTGAAAGTCCCTGTGAATATCCATGCATTGAGATGAATTACATTTGCAAGGGCTTCTGGGAAGATACTGACACAAAGGTGCCAGGAATGCAATCCAGCTTCTCTTAAAGTTAGCATTTATTTTTTTTTAATCAATAGATTGTAAAATCCATTAATAGATTGGCTGTGACTTCTTTCAACTTATATGCATTCACATTTCTAAATTGTTAGACATTGATGTTGAATGTATATAAAAACAACAAAAACTTTGTTGGCATCTGTTAAGAGATATTCAACATGTATATACTGTTGTTTAACAGTAACATTTTTCATTTGGATATGATTAAAAAAAAAGTACGAGGTTCTTTTACTTGAAAGAAAGATGAGAGAAAGAATGGCCAGGAAATTCTATGGTGAAACTTTTACTACAGGAAATGGTATTTGACTTAGTACATTTTATACCGTTATTAATGCATAGTGGGGACTAGGTAATATATAAAAATATTCCTTTTCCTTAACATCCAGGGAGTCTGAGAACATGGCACAGACTGTGCTAAGGGCCTTTTGCTGTGTGTAACATGATAGAGAATATATTATGGTGAGGCAGAACAAGCCTGCCAGAGAGTGCCCACCTTTTAAATGAAGCCTCTGCTACATCAACTTATTAGTCCACTAAACTATTCACTCATTGGTGAATTCATCACCTCCAATTTCTATTAACACATGAGTCTAGGGGTTAAATTTCCAATGCATGAAGGGACTGCCACTGTTTATGTTTATTTCCATGATCACCTATAGAAAATAACTAGTGGACTAGGAAAAGGAACATTATGGTCAGATATGAAAATGAATAGACACAAACTAAATTCCTGTCCATTCTCTGCACTGTCTCTTCATGTCCACTCCATACTTAGTAACTACAGAAGCAGTTACCACAGAAGGAGTACAATATGAACTACTATTAACCACATAAATTCAGATAGTTACATTTTATTTTTAGCCTCCTTTTATGTTTCTTGACATTTGTTCCAATGATTCTAACTCTCTCCTGGTAGATTAAGTGGCAATCACATGTGTATAGGGTGAATGGCTATTTGATCTGATTTTGCATAAAACAAAACCATAATAAATATGATTTTTATTATACGATAAGATATATGGGAATGACCAGTACTCTGGCATTCAATTATATCTAAACTTGCTGTTCTTATAATCGCATAAATGTAAATAATATATGATAAAGATAAGATTCTAAAATATTGTTCTGAATTTTAATTCTAGACAGAGTTGCTAAGATGTCATTCCAACATATTTACCTTCACTGCCAACATGAATATTCTAGATCTTACAACAGCAGAGAACTTTCTTTTAGAATAACTTTTCTATCAGCCACATTTAGAATTTGGGCAGTTTCTTCAGGCAAGCACTTGTAAAATCAAGATGCTAGGAACAAGAGAAATCAAAATGTTTACATAGTATTTGGCCTACTTCATCCTTAAAGTATTTACCAATGTGAGTACCTCAGGTAAATGAGTGGTTACAAAGCTGAGAAGAAATCTGACAGGCTCAAAAATAAATGATTTAAAGCAAATAAAAGGCAAGGTTTGAGGCTTGGGCACTTGATGTTGGTGCTGAGGACCTGGATTCGGTTCCCAGCACCCACATGGTGGCTCCAACATCCTCTTCGGGACTCCACGGGTACTAGGAATGCATGACATGAATGTAGGAAAACACTCACATAAAATAAAAGAAATCTTTAAAATGAAAATAAACTCAGTAAATAGTATAGATCAAGACCCTCAGCAAGTTGCATTCTGAGAGTAATCAAAATAGAAATTAATGCTTATAGAATTATTTCTAAATTTATTTCAAGTATTTAAAGTAGCCTCAAATTATATCTGCAGTTTTTAAATAGGTATTGCTAAAATTAAAATTAAAATACAGGAGTATATAAAAATATAAGAATTCCACAAACCCCAAAATTTACAAAAGACAATAAAACAAGCACAAGAGAATTTCAAATATTGATGTAAACATGCAAATAGTTGAAATGATAAATTCACTGGATAGTGATATAAGAAATGGCAATGCAATGACATATTAACTTGAAAAAACAATATTAATGATCTGATCCAAAGAACCAAAATATTAAACAAAAAATAAGCTGATACTCTGTAACCTGTAGAAGACATCAAGCAAATAACAAATATGTACTAAAATCTCAGAAGAAAAAAAGGCTAAGGAAATTTTGCAAATAAAAATGTTGAAAAACCTCAAAATTTTGTATAAAACATTAATTTAGAAACTCAAGAAACTTAACAACTAATAGGATAGGAATAAAACCATACCTAGAATATTATTGTCATCAATGAAGGAGGAACCATTACTCTCAAAGAAACAAACTCATGAGTAGAATTATGGCTTTAGTGAAAATACCTTACTTTTTAAATTTATTTTTATTTACATTTTTAAAAAATCTTATTTTACATACCAACCCCAGTTCCCTCTCCCTCCTCCCATTCCTTCCACCATCTCCCCATCCACTCCTCAGGGAGGGTGAGTCCTCCCATGGGGCATCATCAAAGTCTCTCACATCATATGGGGCAGGACCTAGGCCCTCCCCAATGTATCTAGGGTGAGAGAGTATCCCTATACAGGGAATGGGCTCCCAAAGCCTATTCCTGCACTAGGGATAAATACTGCTTCCACTGCCAGTGACCCTATAGAGTGTTCAAACCCCACAACTGACACCCACATTCAGGGTCTGGTTTAGTCTTATACAGGTTCCCCAGCTGTCAGTCTGGAGTTCATGAGCTCTCACTTGCTCCTCCCTCTCTGCAGCTTGATTCCAGGAATCCTGCTCAGTGCTTAGTTCTGGATCTCCGCTTCTGCTTCCATCAGCTACTGGATGAAGGCTCTATGATGGCATTTAAGGTAGTCATCAATCTCATTATAGGGGAAGGGCATTTAGATTCTTAGTTGGAGCCATCCTTGTAGATCTCTGGACAGTTCCCCAGTGACAGGTTTCTCCTTAAGCCCATAATTGCTCCCTCTATTAAGGTATCACTTTCCTTGCTCTCCTTCTGTTTTCCCAACTCCACCATCCTGGTCCCTCAAGATCTGCTCCCATCTCTCCTTCTCCCCTCCTCTTTCTCCTACCTCCCTCTCCTTCCCCCAGTGCTCCCAATTTACTCAGGAGATCTTATCCCTTTCCCCTTCTTAGGGAGGGTCCATGCATGTCTCTCTTAGGGTCCTCCTTGGTTCTTAGCCTCTCTGGGGTTGTGGATTGTAGGCTGGTTATCCCTTGTTCTATGTCTAGTATCCACTTATGAGTGAGTACACACCATGTTGCTGTTTTGTTTTGTTTTGTTTTTAATCAGAAACAAGCTTGCTTCACATGTCAGTCCCAGCTTTCTGTGTCTGGGTTACCTCACTCAGGATGGTTTCTTCTAGTTCCATCCATTTGACTGCAAATTTTAAGAAGTCATTAATTTGTACCACTGAGTAATACTCCATTGTGTAAATGTACCTTATCCAGTTTTCGATTGAGGGACATCTAGGTTGCTTCCAGGTTCTGGCTATTACACATAATGCTACTATGAACAGAAGTCTTGTTGTATGAATGTGCATCCTTTGGGTATATGCCTAAGAGTGCAATAGCTAAGTCTTGAGGCAGACTGGTTCCAATTTCCTGAGGAACCGCCATAGTGATTTCCAAAGTGGCCGCACAAGTTTGCATTTCCACCAGCACAGGGGCCATGCTAATCTTCTCGGTCTTGTTCCAATTTTAGCAAATGTGCTGCTGAAGCAAGCTTGCATTCCCACCAGCAGTGGAGGAGTGTTCCCCTTTCTCCACATCCTCTCCAGCATAGACTGTCATTGGTGTTTTTTATTTTAGCCATTCTGACAGGTGTTGTATGGTATCTCAGAGTTGTTTTGATTTACATTTCCCTGATGGCCAAGGATGTTGAGCAATTTCTTCTTTTTTCTTTAAATTAAAAACAGTCTTATTTCCCATACTGATCCAAGTTCCCTCTCTCTTCCATCCTCCCATGCCCCCACCAGCCTCCCATCCCATACCCCCCACCCACTTACAAAACAAATTTATCTATTTATTGTGTGTGTGGTGTGTTGGCATGTTCATGCCATGGTGCATTACCAAAAACCAATGGACATCTTAAGAAGGCTGGTTTTCTTCTACCAGGTAGATCTCAGGGATTACCCAGGTCCCAAGACTTGACAGGAAATACCTTTACACAACAAATCAGCATACTGCCCTAAAACATGTTTGAGAAATCAACTACTGAGGTTTTCATTTTAACTACTGAGAATTCTGAGACAGGAGAATGGAAAGTTTGAGGCCTACCTGGGCAACTTAACTGAGACCCTGTATTTTGATATATAACACATATAAGTAAACAGTAAAAGAGGGGCTGTTAAATAATAGAGTGCTTGCCTAACATGAGCAAGACCCTAGGATTAATTCCAATGTGAATGAGAAGAAGGAAACACTGGCTGACAAGGAATGAATGATGGCACATCATGGCTATGAATGCTTCAAAGACAGAAAGCAATGAAGAGGTGAACATTTCTTTAGAAAGAGACCTGACTGATGCCAAGATAGAATCACCACCTGCACAACTGATGACCGCACACCGCTATGATTCTGTTTGTGATTATAGTAGATTAGACAATGAATATTTAGGAATTAGACATATAATTGTGTCATATAATTAGTGGTGATGTTAACTTATTTTCAGGTTCCTCTTTAGAAGGAGGAAGCTCTAACTCTTTAGTTCCATTTAAAAGTTTTCTTTACTTATTATTTTTTGATGAATGTATGGGCTTAGAAAGTATATGCAAGGTAAATGGGAACATGATAATCTGGTATCTTAATACTGATCAAAACCTAAAAGTAACTCTATATCCAGTGCATTTGTAGAGAATATTTGGTAAAATTCTGCTATGACTTGAAAAAACTGGAAAAAACAATTCCTGCACAACCACAATTTTCTATGCTGGAAATTAAATTTGTTAAAACTCAATGTACATTCCCCAGACAGTTAATTATACATTGCTGGAAACAATTTGAGCAGCTGAAATAATTTTATATCAGTTGTATTTATAAATCCTCGGAGGTCAGAACGTCTAAACCCAAGGTACCACTCCTGTAAAGGTCACCCATCTGTCCCACCTTCTCCCAAGCAGAAACAGTTGCTTGGGAGTTCTTTCTGCCACCTCCTATCCCCACCTCACAGCCACACCTGTTTAATGTTCCACACCTTTGTTAAGCTGCATGGTACTTATTTGTTTATTTATAATTTCCTCCACCTCCCACCAGTTGATTCAGAGAATTTTGGTTTCATCCTTCTCGAGTTGCCATATTGAACACATACATATTAATCATGCAGAATTTTACTATTTATTCTGTATAACCACATCACCAAATTTGGCAAGATACATCCTTCTTTAAACTGTATTGTCTCCTGGCACAGAAGGAAAGGAAATGGATATGTGCTGCCTAAGTATTAGTATGCCAAGTGACTGGAAGGTTCATGAATGAATGTGTGTGTGCGTGCATGTGTGTGTGTGTTGTGCTCATTTCTAAGTTTCAGAATGATTAGAAGGAAAGAAATCCTTAATGAATTCACCCTCAGATTGCTAAATAAATTACCTGTAGAAACTTATTTTCTTCTATGTATGTTTTTGTTTTCATTCTACACCTACCTGCCATAGTGAACTAGAACCTATATTTTCAAGATTTTAGAAGAAAAAATGACCTGATGAACAGAGGGAAGTGACCTTAAGTCTTGTTCTTATCAAAGCAAACCCTTCACCAATGGCACAAAAAGGTGTTTTATTAAAGCTACTGCCTCCTACGCAGGGAGTGTGTGTCCTTATTTAGACAAGTTACAGACTCTATCATTCCACTATTAACTTGATTTCAGTATTAGAGGGTTAGATGCTGAGAAATCACTTGGGGGGGAAAATCAAACTTTGTTGGCCTGGATTTGATTATTTTCCATTTCACTTAGAACTTTTTACCAATTGCAATAAAATGCTGATCAAGGAACTTATTCATCACTGTGAACAGGCATGGAACTGCTCAGAAGTTTTATATTGAAAAGGGCCAATAAAAAACATTCAGTTATCTCAAGTATTGACAGAACTTTTTTGCCATTACTTTAATTTCTGCCTCGGATAAGAGGTAAAAATTTTTCATTAGAGAATGTTTGGTTAACTGATAATTAAACACCCCAAACAAGATCTGCACAAATCACTGTTTTATTTGACATCACAGTTCATGGTCCTTCCTAACTGGCAGTCACTGTTCTGTGGATACCATCATTTACAATGCAATCACTATCCCTATATGCGTAACATGTGGTTCTCCCTGTTCTGTCCTAACATTAAAAGACAAATCATCTTCACTGCACATTAACTTTAAACATGTTTCAGCATCAGGCTTCAAGGAAAACTCTCTTCAATAACTGTGCACATTCTCCAGTTTGCCTCCTTTAATACATATAGGTAGAATGCTTTCATGATCACCAAGGTCGGCGTTTTTGGTGATAAACAAAATGGAATTAAATACAACACACAGTCAGTTGTCATTTAATGCTGTTTAATATTGAAAGTCTTTCTTTGAAATTCCAGACCACCTTAAAGATACACAGAGGTCTCTTGCTCTGCGTCATTGGAGCATCTCTCATTGGTAGGAGGCTTCTGGTGCCTGCAGCTCCTCCTATGATGGGCCTCTCAGGCAGTTACTCCTCACTGGTATGGATTGGGAATCGCTCTGGAGGAAGCACCGATTCCAGTCTCTGCCAGCGTTCTGGAGGCCACAAGATATGTGTGGCATGGGCATGCAGAAGTCCCAGAGAAACCTGAATCCAGGGGGAACACAGAGACAGCAACAAAGAAATTATTTCAGACTGACCATAATAAATAGCTTGAAAACCACATTTGATTCAGGTCTAGCATGTCATGGAAAGACTGTGCTTAAACACAGGAAACACTAGGGCTTCACAGGCGTCAGCTACTTGAACCTTCATAACAGTCACTTGAGGGAATTACAGTTTTAACTTTCTAGAACAGGAAACTGAGTTTAGAGAAGTTTAAAACGTCATGTACATACAATGCATTGGAACCTGGCTTTACTACTGAGTTGCCTCCAACATTAACCTCCACCCTCAACAGCCTTTTTACACAGACCCAGGAAACGCAAATCCAGTTTACAGTCTCAGATGTCCTCTAGAGCTATTATTGCCTGAGAGAGACCTCATAAACCAGTCCTAGAGACCCAAATGCATATTTATATCTTTAAACATTGTTCCATTTGCAGGATGAGCAATCAGAGTCCAGGTGTGATTCTGGGTGGAGACTGCTTCAGGAGAGTCGCTAAGCAACATGGGCAAGAACTCAGAGAAAGGAGGAGAGCTCAGGGCAAACAAAGAGGAGGACCAATAGATAGAAAGCACCGAGATCATGGCTGATTGAAAACAACAGCATTTATACAGATGCGCAGCACTCTGCTGGGAGAGAAGAAACCAGAAACACGCTGTAACTTAAATATAGATGGTATCAGCTCAAAGGAGAGCAAAAAGCCCTGGGGACTTGGGAACAGTTTCTTTCCTTCTAATAGTTCTGAAAATAAATCTTAAAAATAAGCACAAAATTGGTTCTATCCAGCAAACATCACCAGTCACTCATGCTTTGCTCTAGTAACTCCCTCTCAGTCCATGTCTGCACACATATAAGCATATACATCATACTTGTCTGCACATACATCAGTATATGCATTATAACTGTCAGCACACACATCAACATATACATTATACTTGTCCACACACATCAATATATACATTGTATCTGTATGCACACACATTGATGTATATATTATACTTATCTGTACGCAATCAATGTATACATTATGCTTGTTTCTGAGCCTTTTGAAAGTTATTAATACCCTGTGGAATTTATACCTAAATACTTAAAAATATAATCAAAGAACTAAAACCCTTTCTCATATGAGTACATTACCATTGCCATATGCCAAGTGGTTTGTATTAATACAATAACAAAGTTTATATACTCTCCATATTCAACACATTCCAGTTGCCCTAGTCTTTTAGAGTCATTTAATTTAAAAATAAAGCGTCTCGTGAAGGATCTCAGCCTACACCTGTAGTTATGAAGCTGCTTCTATCATCATTTATTTTACCCAGGGTCCAGGACACTGACTTGCACCGTGTCCTATAGCTCAACTTGTCTGAGTTTTTCACTCATGAAGACACAAAAGGTAACTGTTTTGGCAAAAAAAATGTAGTTAATACTGTATTTTTCCAGCTCTGTTTGATCAGGGAGCATGGAATATCTATCAGTTCCCCAACTACTGAAATATGAAATTCAATAGCTCAAGGTGAGGGTGACCCAATATCTCTATCAGTTAACAAACATTTTCATTTTCAGATAATAAATAATATATGGGGATATTTAGAAACAGTATAAATATCCTGAATGTCAAGTGCAATTCATCAAATTGTTTTATTGCACATCACTATTGTGACTTAATTATTTACACTGAAGATTATTACAAAGTGATTTTCATCTACTATTTCTTTTATAATTTCAGTTGCCAATTTCTCTATACGGACATCTTTCTCAACACCAACTGCTGTATTTGTTATTTATTTGTCATGTATACAATTGTCTTATATTATGGGATGTATGCATGTGTGTGGTTTTTGAGATAGGGTCTCACTTTGCAGTCCAGTTTAGCCTGTAACTCACTATCTGGGTCATACTCTG